TGGTGGGCTCTCCTCCTTTGGAGGTTTTTAAGCAGAGGCTAGATGGCCATCTGACATCAATGCTGATTCTGTGAACTTAGGCAGATCACGAGAAGAGAAGGCAGGAAGGATTGCATCATTGCTTAGTTCTCATGGCCCTTTCTTACACACCCAGGGAAATGCTGATCACCACTTTGGGGTCAAGAAGCAATTTTTCTCCAGGCCAGTTTGGCCAGGGATCCTGGAGGGTTTTTTTTTGTCATCTTCTGGGCATGGAGCAAGGGTCACTAGGGGTGTGGGGGGAATTATTTGTGAATTTCCTACATTTTGCAGAGGGTTGGACTAGATAACCCTGGAGGTACCTTCCAACTTTGATTATATTATTCTACTTTTCTGTCAGTTCTGCAGTGCCAACACTGGAGGAAAGTAAAACTTAGAGCTGAGTAAATGAACATCCTTGGAACCAACACAATGCAATACCTTCTTATTAGGACCAATCAAAATAACTCAACACAGGGCAATTCTAAACGTTATTACACCTTTCTAAACCCACTGACTTCGATGGATTTATAAGTGTCTAACCCTGCACAGGATTGCACCGACAGTGGGCAAACTTTCCTGTTCTTCAGAACTCTACAATGATCAGGCTGGATGTTTTAAAAAAAGAAAAAAATGAGGTGGAGAAAATTTTTGTAAAAAGATATTGCAGATCACGGTCTTGTATTGGGGCCCAACACTACTGCAAAGAGGAGACTGCAAAGGCACCCTAAAATGCCCCAACATTTTAATACTCTTGGCCTGGCCAGCTAGAAGCGTGGGAAAAATTGCACACCACCCAAGGAGAAAAGGCCTAAGCGGGGAAACGGTAAAAGGTGAAGGTTTCCCCTCGCTCAGTCGAATCCGACTCTAAGGGGCGGTGCTCATCCCCGTTTCTAAGCCGAAGAGCCAGCGCTGTCCGAGGACGCTTCCGTGGTCATGTGGCCGGCGTGACTAGACCGCGAAGCGCACGGGACGCTGTTACCTTCCCCCCGAAGCGGCACCTATTTATCTACTTGCAATTTCTTGCTTTCGAACTGCTGGGTTGGCAGGAGCTGAGCCACCGCGGCCCCTTCGCGGGGACACGAGAGAGCCGCAAAGCGAGCAGGGAGGACTCGGTCCAAGGCCGCGGGAACCCTTGCCCGGCCAAAGCAGAAGCACGGCGTTAAAACGAGAGCAAATTTTCTCAGTGGGGCGGCTTTTGCATGCGAGGGAAACCGGCGGCCGGCCTAACTGGGCAGGGCGCTGAGGGGGACAGAGTGGCTGGCTGGTCGGCCGGCGACTGAGTGGGCAGGCGGTCGTGGAGGGGGGGGACGGAAGAGAAGGCCGGCGGCCACCCCGCGCCTCAGTACCTCAAAATCCTTGGCGGGCTCGTCGAGCAAGGCCTCGGAGCACCAGCCGCGGCGGACCCAGCAGCTCCAGCCTTCCGCTCCGCCCCATTCACTCGCGGCGTGACTGACTAACCGAGGCGGGCCTTGGAGGCCGGCGGGCGCCTGCGCGTTGCCTACCGGTGCGGGCGGATCCCGGCGGGCCCGGTGACGTGTCTGCGCCACAAGCAGCCCGGCCCGGCTCTGCCGGCCTGGGTGAGGAGAGAAGAAAGAGGCGACGGCCGTGAGGAGGGGAAGGGTGCCTGGCGGACTCCACCGCAGGCCCAGCAGCTCCGCCGCCGCCGCCAGAAGGAACGGGAGCGAGCGTGCTCTGGCCTGCACCATGTTCAACGTGGAGAGCCTCGAGCGGGCCGAGCTCGGAGAGAGCTTGCTCACCTGGGTAAGTGACCGAGGCACGGGTGTGGGTGGACCCTAGTCCTCCTCCGGCCTTCTTCCCTTCCCTTGCGGTGCTGGATGCTCGGCAAGGGTGGCTTCCCCTTTCTTCTCCTCCGCTTCGTTGGCCCAGTCCCCCAGTCCCTTCCCTAAGTGTTTTTGGGGGGTTCTTCCACAGTGCTTCCCCGGTTGCGTGGGCCTCGCTTCCGATAGGGTAATGCTTAAAGTGTAACGCTGTAAGAGAACGATTCCGTGCATGTTTGTTCCGAAGTCAGCCTCCGCTGAACTGGGTGAAGCATTCTTCGAGATGATTTAGGGTTGCAGTCTAGAAGGGGGACGCGGGTCTTACATGTGAATGTGACAAGCAGATGTTTCGTATAGGCATGTTTGTCAGAGAGCCCTGATTTGGGGTGTTACTGGTCACTATATTGTGTTCATTGCATTTTTTTTTTATCTCGCCCTTATCAAAGGAGGGAGTTTTGGGGTGGTTTACATGGATGGCTCTCCCTGCATTTACACTCACGACAGCCCTGTGAGGTAGATTAGGCGGAGTGAGAGTGACTGGGCCAAGGTCATCTAGGAAGTTTCATGGCAATTGAGGGCCTTCCTCACGCTTAGTCCAACACTGATCTTTACAATATGCTGTACAGTTGGGACTGGGAGTGTGCTTGGCTTTGCTGTGCTTGGCTTTGCTGCTGTGAAATGACTGTGGTGCGGGTGTTCTCCTTTCTTCTCCATCTTTCTATCTGTTGGCATCATTAATGTCATCCACTAGGTTTAAAAGCTGGCTTTGTTCACTCACCTCACAGTGTCCAATGTATTCTGCAGCATGGCTTCTGTTTTTCTTTTTCTTTTTATAGTTATCTCATCCCTTTTTAAATGTTCAGTGCTTGTATAGTTTAAATGTTCAGTGCTTGTATAGTTATAGTGCTTGTATAGTTTAAATGTTTAGTGCTTGTATAGTTTAAATGTTCAGTGCTTGTATAGTTATCTCATCCCTTTTTAAATGTTCAGTGTGCAAAACTTGGCCTGTTGTCTCATTTCCAGCAGTATAATTTATACCCAGTCTTAGATTTCAGTAAATCTTTCAAAAGAGATGATATAGGATTTGTTGACTTGAGAGGAAAACAGAGCACATATAAGGAGTTCCCAAACTTTGAGTGAGCTGTGCTCCAAAAATGCAGGTTTCTGAGCTACTTATGAACCGATAGAAATGTACCATCACTCCTCCTTATGTGTTTTGTGTATCTAAAATCACTTTGAGTCTCTTACACTCCATTTTTAAATGGTTTTAAGGGCTTGGTTTGTTTCAGAAGCTCTTTTCCAGAGGGATTCCTCTAGTTAAAAAGGGGGGTTGAGATATATTACTGAAGAGGGGTGCACACATCAACACCAGGTGGAGAGAAAACAAAGCCACTGTGCATGTACAAAGCAAGCTGTGGTGTCGTCATTACTAGTCCTTGCATATACCTTCAGCCAGACATGTGGTGATGCAGGAAGTCCATGTCTGACTTTTATATTGCTGTGAATGTGTGACCTGTGGAGAACTCATAGAACACTGTACTTCTAGAGATAATTGTCCGATTGTGGGAAGCGGGTAAACTTCTCCAAGAATATGTGTCAGGGGTCACACTATTCCTGGTGGTGATGGTGGTAAGGGAATTCCTGATTATCACTTCAAGCTAGAAATCTGGCACACACCAGCCAATTTGATTCCATTGATTACAACTGGGCTATTTAAATGTTCTTGCATAAGAAGCTGCTGTCTGTAAACTTGTTCACTGTTTGCCCTTGAAAGTTAAATTAATCAAGAACATGTGGTCAGTTTGTTTTTAGGACGGCACTACCTGAGGATTAACTATAAAAAGTACATACTGCCATTTAGTCAGATGTGCACATTGCAGTTATGAAATTCTGTTGATTTCAAATAAGTGTAGATGTCCCTACCATTCTCTGAATTTTGTTCTTTGTTATGCCAAGATAATAAATTATCCACATGGGCTCTACATGTGGATAATTACTTCCTATTTATGCTATTGCAGCTTACATTAGTTTAGGCTGTTATTTTTATTGTCACTTATTTTGCAATGCTGTCAGTAATGTTAACAGGACTCTGGTGTACGGCTATAAAAAGAATGTGTGTTGTGGTGGATCAATTATAAAGCACATGTTTTGAATGCAGAAGTTCCCAGGTTCAATCCTTGGCATCTCCAATTAAAAGATCACAGGTAGTAGAGCTGGAGAAAGGGAAAGACATTTCTGTGTGTGAGACCCTGGAGAGCGACAGCTGGTCAGAATAGAAAGGAATGAGCCAGATAAACCAATGGTCTGCCTTGGTATATAGAACAGCTTCACATGTTCCTGTAACCTCTTTAGGTGAAGTAGGACGAATACTGCAGTATTGCCCCCTGAATCCATGTACACATGATGGAGCAGGCAGCAGTTTGCATTATGTGAATATATTAGTAATCTACATACAGCGAGGTGTCCCACTTCTCTGTCATGCTTCCATTTTAATTATTATATATTGTATATATCTCACATTCCTGGTTGCTTGGTGAATGTCCCCAAGTGTTACTCACACACCAAGCCCATTTCCATGTAGTGTAACAACATTTCATACTGTCACTTTGTTTTTCCTGTTGATGGTGGGTGTCGCCAGTATTGCATTAATGCAATGTACTGGGGTGGTTTATGATACAGGTGAAGCAATGCTGTAGACTGTAATATTGCACTCTCTCCTACGCGTGTATTTGGCAGAGCAGAAGTTTATGGGATTATCCCACAGATTGCCTTGAACTAATTCGGTGAATAACTTTGTGTTGCCTTTCTACACTTAATTGTAGAATGATTTCGTTGGACGAAGAGTACAAGTTATTGATTGGGTGGTTAATAGGAGTTCCTATTTTTGGCTGCTGGTGGAAGTTGGAAAGTGAAATTAACAGCAGGAAACAGGTCAGCACAAAAAGGGGGTGTGGTTAGGAAATGGCTGTGGAAACTGGGTGAGCTTGTACCACATCTCCTACTGTATTCGCGTGTCTGTTTCTTGGCCCCTTTGGTATTCCTTTTGTTTAGCCATCCTAGGCACTAGAATCCAAGTGGCAGAAGTGAAAGAAAGGAAAATCCAGTAAAAATATATAGTAGTTTGGGAGAGAAGTAGTATTCAAAAGAGGTAATATAAAATTTCCTGAAATGCTGAAGTTATTGGGGGGGGGGATTCCCTTAGAGAGAAAAATAAAATATACGCAACACTTTTACGAAACCTACATTTATTTTACTGATTTAAAAATAAAATGCATAATTTATAACCTAGCACAGTGGTACTTACTCATTGAGAACCAAAAGAGCACTTTTACTTCCATTCCTGGCATGCCAGGGAAGCTTGCAGCTTCCCTGTTCTTCTAGCAGCAGATGTTTCAAAGTAGGAACCACCTGCCAACCACAAGCCTGGTCAGGCATGGGCCTTGTCTACTTTCCTGAAACATGGGGCAGGTGCCGCATTGGGCAACAGCAATCAGAAGAGCCATTGGTAACGTATCAGAGAGCCACATGTTGCTCCCAAGCCACTGAGTATCACTGACTTGGCGTATAAAACTGTCCTATTTGATGTATTTATTATTATAAGTATAAATGCCTTAGTTTTCTATGAACAAAATGGAGTTTATACCCAACACTAGAAACAGAGGTTAGTTATAAAGCAGAAATCCTCAAGCAAAAAAGACCCTTTATGAAGATGGCAAGATTTTCTAGGTTGAGTGTTCTACACAAGTACAGTATTCTTTAATGCTGTAGATTGTCCATCTAGAAATCCTCATGCTGCATATTCTAAGCAAATAAACTCTTATCTTTCAGAAGCATTCCACTCATTCCAGAAGAGAAAACGTTTTACAGGAGTGTTTTCCAGTTCTCCAAATATCTGTTTTTCCACTGGAAAAATAGAAGAATGTCTGGGAGGGAGGAGGAATGGGGGGGGGGAAGTCATTTCTTTTCCCCCTGAGCCTCTTCATCTATATGTGGAGGGCATGGAACATGAAAATTCAGTGCATCTAGATTTTTCCTCCTGGGATTCACTACTTCCCCTGCTGAAGAGACATAATTAAAAAGGAAGTGCAGACTTCTTGCACTCTGCATTGTGCAAAGAATGAAATCAGTAATGACGGAATTCACACTGGCTTGAGATTGATAGCCAAAAGAGTAAACACTGGACCCTACAGCCTCTTAATTCCTGTAGCTCTGTGGTATCAACTGTCTCCTTTTTCTGTCCTACTGCATCTGCTTTCCTTATCTTTTGAGCATATTGATGGCACATTAGGTGTTACAGAAATTACGTAAATAGGATCCTACTTATAACTGAGAGCCAGTTTGGTGTAGTGGTTATGAGCGCGGACTCTAATCTGGGAAAACCGGGTTTGATTCCCCTCTCCGCCACATGCAGCTGCTGGTGTGACCTTGCGTCAGTCATAAGTTCTTTCAGAGCTGTTCTCTTAAGGGCAGTTCTCGAGAGAGCTCTCTCAGCCCCACTTACCTGTTGTGGGGAGGGAAAGGGATTATAAGGCACTCTGAGACTCCTTCAGGTAGTGAAGGGTGGGGTATAAATCCCATCTCTTCTTCTTCTCAATAAGTGCACCCAGCAGGATAGACCACAGTCCATAACTGTTTATTCAAGCAAGTTTTAAAAACCATTTTGTATAGTAAAATCCTAATATCTGTGCAGAAAAGCCATGTTGAATAGTTCAGGGTTTCATAGGCCCCGGTCACACGGGCAGGAAAATGCGGGGGGGGGGGAGCGTGACTGTTTGCCCCGGAGCAAAATAACGTGCGGCTGCGCGATCAGACCTCCCGTCGAGGTCCCGTGGTTAGGGGGGAGGTGCTGATCACAGGACAATCCTGCGGCACGGCAAAGAAGCGGCCTCTCTAGCAAAAGGCTCCACGGGTTTAACCCCTTCCAGGGCTGCAGAGGAATGCAAACTGTGTCCTCCGTCCGGTCCCCTCCAGGAGCGGTCTGCG